GCCTCCCCATGCGAGCACTGCCGGCCTCCTTGCAGCTCTTCCTCCACGACAACCGTGTTCCTGCCTCAGGCTCATTGTCATGTCTGTTCCTTTTGCTTGGAACAGGTATCTGGGTGGCTCACTCCTCACTTCCTTCAGGGATCTGCTTAAACATCACTTAGACGTGCATTCCCAGATCACAATAAATAAATAAGACACTCCGGCCACCACCCATAACACTTTATAATGCCCTGTGTCCTACTTCACGTTTCCCCATATCACTTATTGCTGTAACATACATTGTATAATTTACTGTTAATGCCGTGGAGTCGATTCAGACTCCCAGCAACCCTGTGCTCAGCAGAGTGGAGCCCTGCCTGGTCTTTTTGTGCCATCCTCTCACCATATGGTGCTGTATCAGACAACGCTCACTGCTATTCACAGGGTTTTCATGGCCATATTTTTTCAGAAGTGAGTGGCCAGGTCCTTCTTCCTAGTCTGTCTGAGTCTGGAAGCTCTGCTGAAAACTGTCCACCATGGGTGACACCGTTGGTATTTGAAATCCCAGTGGCATAGCCTTCAGCATCTCAGCAACACGCAGCTACCAGAGGATGACAACCAACAGACAAGTGGTATGCTTCCCTGACCAGGAAATGAACCCGGGCTACAGTGGTGAAAGTGTGAAACCTTAACCACTAGACCACCAGGGCTGGCATTGTATAATACTTGCCTTTATTATATTAATTTATTCTTTATCTGTCTCCCATCATTAAAATGTAAGCTTCACAGGATCAAAGTTGCTGTTTTGTTTCACTGCTCCATTCTCAGCACCTAGAACTGTGCCTGGCATATGGTCCGCACTCACTAAATGTTTGCTGAATGAATGAATGAAAAAATACCATTCTATAATTATGTATTATATATCTAGAATATGTAGATCCAAGTGTATTTCTTGAAAGGACCTGGCCAGCTTAAAAGAGCCATCAGATGCTCAAATGGCCAAGAGACATCAATCAATCTCCTTTTCATGCCCCGACCTGAAGAGGCCGTACTGAAGCCACATTGAAGATGATAGAGAAACACCAGCATGAAAGTCAAAAAAAGATAAAAGAAGGGCATCTACTTTCAAAACCCATATTCTCCACCCAGAAAGAGATGTCTGAGGAAGGGAAATCAGGTTTTTCTCAACAGCACAAGGATTGCTCCCTTGCATTCTCAGGCCCAAACTGCTATTTGTGAAGGAACGGAATTATTTCCTTTCAAATCTCTGTGGGCAAGGTTATTTTTAGCCTTTCTTGTAGTATATTTCTAGCAAACCCAAGAAAAGGGGAAGTTTAAACAGAAAAAAAAGAAATGAGGTGATATTTTTTTCCCCAGGGGCTGTTAACTTCCCTGAGAAATTTAATGTGAGTAGAAAAGAAAGAGAACATGTTTCATCTACAGATGAAATCTCTCAACTCTCCTAGATAAAAATGTTTTTTAAAAGTAAGTAAACAAAAATAATAAATCAAAAATAGGACAAATCAAGAACACAACAGCAGATTCAGATTTTTCAAGACAACTCTGTTGGGAATTCTCAACAATCCAGATGTTTTTGTCCATCAACACTTGTCAATATATTTCAAATTTGACACCGGTCACTTAGTTTAGCTACATGGGAAATATTTCTGAAGGTCAGAAACAGAGGGGAGGCATTTATGTAGATCACAGATAAAAACGTGTCACTGACCCAGAACTTATTTTAATGAACACAAACTCACCCTCTGGTGCTCATCTAATCATGACAGGCAGAATTCTAAAGATATTCCCCCAAGATTTCCATTCTAATTCCCAGAACTGTTAAGATTATGAGATATCATGCCTGCCAATATAATATATTATATGGCAAGGCAAAAGGGACTTTGTAGATTAATGAATGTTAACTAATCAGTTGACTTTAATATGGGGAGTTATCTTGTACTGTCTAGGAAAGCTGAATCTAATTAGGTAAGGCCTTAAAAGCAAAGAGTTTCCTCTGGCTACTGGCAGAAGGAGAAGTCAGAGAGATCTGAAGTACTAGAAGGATTGGAAGAGCCATTGCTGAGTTGAAGAAGATCATGTGACAAAGAATGTCGAGGCCTCTAGAAGCTGATAGCAAATCCTGTCTCACAGTCAGTAAGGAAGCAGAGACCTCAGTTCCAAAATTACTAAGAGTTTGGAAGCAAATTCTTCCCTAGATCCTCTAGATAAATTCCCAGCGCAGCAGATCCCTGAATTTGGCCTTTTGAGACCCTAAGCAGAGAATCAAGCTAAGCTTGCCTGGTCTTCTGACCTACATAAATGTGAGATCATAAATGTGTGCTGTTTTAAGTTGCTAAATTTGTGGTAATTTGTTCTGCAACAATGGAAAATGAATACAAACTTAAAGAGCAAAGTGAAGCACAAAGAGATTTTCCAGAACTAGGCACTTCCTAAATCCAAGTCTACTTAAAACGTTTAAAAAATGACCCTTTTTCTTCTTGTCTATTCCCACTAAAGCATATCTGCATGTTTTACTTAATATTCATTGCTAGATTCTCTATTCTACAATCAGATCTTTCTCTTGACCCTGGCTACATGCAAAAAACACAGAGAACAAGAAAAGTCCTACAGGACAGATCTTCTCTTTGGGGAGGGTTTCAGGGTTGAAGAGGTACAGGGGAAAGTTTAAATTCTGAGATACACTCCCAATTCCATTTCTGTATCCTTCCTTTTTCCTTCTCTTTTCCTCATAAACCAGGTACCCATTACTCTCAAGTTATTCTCTAGAAACCTTCTTGCTTCCACTCTCTACCCCCTACAATGAGGAATCACCACCCAGGCTGCCTGCCCTTAGACTGTCACACTCCAGACCTACCCAGTCTAGAGAAAATACTTAGGACATGTTGCCACTCCCTTCTTGCACCAATGGAATATATCATTAAATCTATTGATAAGTCAATAAATCTATTGATTTTGGTACTTGGCATGTCTCTTGCTACATCCAGGGACAGCTTCTGATCCTTCTATCTATAGCATCTCCTAGTTATCATGATGGCATGCTAGATGATATCTACTTCACATTTTTCACCTCATCCATCCACTATCGCCACCTTTCACTTTTCACCATTAAAAAAAATTTTTTTTTCTCTTAGTTAATGTGAATAGGAAAGCAATCTCATTAAAACCTGTCAAGGCATGACTAATGTATTTAACATAAGAAATGCATCTAAGAGTAGAATTCCGTATCTGGAGAAATTACAGGCCATGTGACAAAAGAGGAGTACACAGGAATATGAAAACATGGCTTGAGGAAGCTCTTCCAGGAATGCTAGAAGAAAGCCTTTAAGTTACTCTCTGTGCCTCCATGTGCCTTGATGACAAGGGGAGAGAATGCATATAAATGACAGAGCTTTGTGGGTGGCATACTGGGCTTTTTACTCCTTTTTGTCATCTCGCTTTGTGTCATTAAGGTGAATACACATGAATGTAAAATGAAGGCCCAAGGACAACTACTCAGATAGCCCACTGTCAGTGCCCAGTGCCGTTTGTTGTGCAGACCGCACCCCACTTCTTCTCTCCAAGTGTGGATCCAGTGATTACTTTGCTAGTAAGGGTTACTTGGTCTGTGTTTTACCCTAGAATATGCTGTCTGTTTCTCCTCTCATAAATTTGGAAAACGCTACAGAGGCCTCATGCAGGAAAACAGTTGAACTGTACTTACCCATAGAGAAAGACCCGGATGACTGTATAAAATACGTCTGGATCTACGTGATCTGGAAGGGCAATCACAACGTGAACTTGACTACAGGCGAAAAGGAGCAGTTGGAGACACGAGCACGGGCCCTGCTGCCCGCCCCGGGTGCCGCTCCCTCTGATCTGCACAGGAACCTGGAGGAAGGCAGCAGGAGGGAATGGGAGGTTCTCTTCCGCAGTCCCCCTCGCTGGCGCTGACACAACTTTTAAACTGCTCCAAATGCTGCCCTTTTCTGTTTGCGGTACTTCCTTTTTCTGTACGTAATAACCAAAACGAAAAGAGAGATCAAGGCCATCTTTAAAGAATTAATATTTTAAACAGACCTGATGTCTGAGAGAATGTGGGAAGTGGAAAGGAGAAAAGCTGAGAGCAAGAATCCCCTCTCTAAAGGCTTTCATAAGAGAGGAGAACTGAAGCCGTCCACACTCGAGAGAAGTTCTGTGTAGTCAAAAGGACAGAGGGGTGTAGAGGGACGGCCACACCTGGCAGACACAGGTTCCTTCAGCTCCGTGTTGAGCCGCGGTCATCAATCTGTGCAGCTATTTCTGAATCTAAGCCAATGCTTGGGGATAATGGATTCCACTAGTTTATTAACCTGTATATAAGGAAGCAGGGCCTTGCATGTGTACATGTCTTTCCATCAACTTTTGAAGGTTGTTCTCTCTTCTTCACATAATGGGGCCGCTCTGTGACCTGGCATGTTTCTCTTAACAAGATTCCTGTCTATGTCTCTTTGTTGCTGAGAGAAAAAGAAATATCTTTTTTATGAGACCTAAATAATGACATCGCTATACCATCAATTTCCCTTTTCTACCATCACCTTAGTCTCTGGTCCTCCATCTCTACTCTCTCTGAAGCCACATGGGCTGGGATAATTCATGTCTTCCTTTGGCCTCAGGGTTTCCCAGTGCTCCTGAGTGGTGTCACATTCTCTTTGCTCTTCTGTGACAATGCCCCATGTGTTGGGCTTTTTTCTAGGCCCAATCTCTGGGTCTTTCCCATTTGGTACTCTGTTCTCATAAAAATGCTAAATATAACATATAAATTTTTGCTGAAGCGGTAATGACTGGCAATAATCTAATATTTTACCCAACTTACCATATTTAAGGAGGAAAAATCACATGATTATTTCAATAGATGTAAACTAATTTTGACATTAAGAAATTTCAATAGATGTAAAAAAAAATCCATTCATGATTAAAACAAACAAAACACTTTGGCTAATTAGGAACAGGAGGGAACATCCTTGAATGGATAAAAGGAATCCACAGGGGCCGGCCCGGTGGCACAGCGCTTAAGTACATGCACTCCTCTTCGGCTGCCCAGGGTTTCCAGGTTCGGAGACCAGGCGTGCACTGACACACCGCTTGTCAAGCCATGCTGTGGTGGCATCCCTTATGTAGAGAAAGATAGGCACGGATGTTAGCCCAGGGCCAATCTTCGTCAGCAAAAAAGAGGAGGATTGGCATTGGATGTTAGCTCACGGCTGATCTTCCTCACACACACACCAAAAAAGATAAAAGGAATCCACAGAAAGCCTACAGTACTATTATAAGTAATGTTGAAATATATAAAATACATCTTTTAAAATATGGAACAAAACAAGGATCAGCACTTTCATTCAACACTGTGTTAAGAGTCCTACCCAGAAGGAAGAAAAAAAATTTAAAAAGAAATAAAAGTTATAAGTATTATAAATGAAAAAACAAAACAAGATTATTCTCAAATGATATGATTTCTACATAGAGAACTCAGATAACCTGCAGATAATCATTGGAATTAATGAGTGTTTACCAAGCTGCTAGATTCAAAGTTAATATCAAATATAAATTTCATTCTGTAAACCAGCAACAAACAGATAGGAGTTAGTTAAATCAAAAGATACCATATTCACTAGAAACAAAAATATAAAGTAACTATGAATAAAGCAGAAGATATCCAAGTCTCTTATCTTGACAGAAATTTTTAAAAATTAAAGAAAAACTTGTCCATGTTCATAGACAAGAAAACTCAGTATCAATATGTAAGAAAAGAAATATATCTAAAGAAGAGTTTTCCATCTGGATAAATTTCAGGCCCTGTGACAGAATAAGACTATCCAGCAACATGAAGACATGATTTGGGGTAGCTTATCTAGGAACCTTAGTTAATGCTTTTATGCTATTCTCTACGTCTCCACCTGCCTTGATCATAAGACAGAAAGACTCGGTATAATATCAAAATCATATAATTTTTCTCCAAATTAATATACAGATTTAATGCAATTTGAGCAAAATTCCTAACAGAGATTTTTTAAGTGGAATTTGACAAGCTGATTCTAACCATTTATACAAAAGGCAAGAGTCAAAGAGAGGGCAGGCACCCCTGGAGAAGAGCAAGATGAGGGGGTTCTCTATCTGAAAACGAGAAGTACTATGAAGCTATAGTTCTTCAGATGGATGGTGCTGGTGGAGGGAAAGACAGACAGACTATGAAACAGAATAGACAGCCTGGAAATAATTCCAGTCATTTAAGAAAATCTGATGTAAGATTGTGTTCATATTACAGAATAGTAATTATTCACAGAAGGAAAATCGAATTTATTCCCTATGTCATACTATATAGAGATAACAATTATATATGAATTAAGGACCAAAATGTGAAAGACAAAAAAACAGTTTCAGAAGAGAATGCAGGAAAATATATTGATGAACTATGAAATAATATCTTATGCAAGACCTCTTAAAACATAGACTTTTACAGAAGAAATGACAATACTTTGATGATATTTAAATTAAGAACTGCTGGTTTCAAAAAGCATAAGACAAATCACAACATTCGCAACACATATAACTAACTAATATCAGCCTCCCGAGTGCACAAAAACCTTATAAAAATCGTAGTAAATAAAACTTAGTAAATAAAAGATAAAAGACCATTAGAAAAAAAAAGGACATTCATTTCACAAAAGAGGGACATGAGAAGTGAGCACGCACGAGCGCGCGCGCGTGCACACACACACAGAAGATAGTGAACTAATTAGAAATCAGGGAAATGCAGGAGTGATGTCATTGTCATGGCAGAATAAGAGTTTTCTGTTATCTTCCCTCCAAAGAACACTGATTTAGACAATCACCCATGGGCAAGGGAGCCTTTGTGGAAGCCCAGGAGTCCAGTGGAGAGTTCCAGCATACCATTGGAGCAAAAACATCCAAGACTGGCTGTGGTGAAGAGGGTAAGATGAACACCTCACTTTACCCACGTCACGCCTCCCCCAAGGTGGCACAGCTTAGTGCCAAGAGACCTTCTCCACCTGTGATTTCTCCCACAGGGAAAGTGAGGGCATGAGAGTGAGTGCCAGGCTTCCCCTGCTGCACGGAGTGCTGCCAAAGAGACCCACTTCTTTCTCACCCCATCCGGAATCCTGAGGTGTGCTGCATGACTTGGGGACCAGGAGGGGGGGAGCGGCTGGGAGAGTCAGACAGTGCTCTTGGAGGGCATTGTAGGGATGCGGATCCTACTAACCACCTCACAGACTCCAGCAAGAAACCCACCCTGGAGCCACTGGGATGCCTCACCTGAAGATCCCCGCAACTGGACCATGGGCACCCCTAGTGCTCAGGTGCCTCACCCGCACACCCACACACCCACACCCCACTCTGTGGCCAGCTCCTTGTGCACACTCCTGATGACAGCAAGACTGAGCCTTTGCAGATGGTTAGTGAGCTTGTCCAGCAGCTGGCTGACTCTGCGGGACTGGGGGAGGCACACATACTTGAGCATGCAGTGCTGCCTTAGGGAGAGCACACGGGAGAATGTCAGCACTGAGCCTGGTCTTGCAGGGGGAAACCAAGTGAGAATTCTGCCACAAGGGGGAGCGAGAAGTGTGGAGCAGGCAGGCCCATAGAAGGTCTGAGAAAGCCTCAGAAGCCCTACCAGCGCTGATGGAAGGTACTTCTCTCCTGAAACCAGTCAGTAAAGACTGGAGGAGGTGAGTGCCTCTTCAAATGTGAAGACAGCAATGCAGACTTCAAGGAACAGGATCTATCAAGGAAACTTGACACCATCAAAGTAACAAAACAATTTTCCAGTAACTGACACTAAAGAAATGCAGATCTGTGATTTGCCTAATAAAGAATTCAAAATCTCTTTTAAGCTCAGTGAACTACAAAAAAAAAAAAAAACCCACAGAAAGACAATTCAATGAAATCAAGAAAACAACACACACATCAATAGGAGAAAATATTTGCAAACCTTATATCAGATAAGGGGTTAATATCCAAAATATATAAGGAGCTTATACAACTCAATAGCAAAAACCCAAATATTCTGATTAAAAAGTAGGCAAAGGACTAAATAGATATTTTTCCAAAGAAGCTACACAAATGGGCTACAAGTACACGAAAAGATGCTCAACATCACTATCATCAGGGAAATGCAAACCAAAACTACAATGAGATATCACCTCACACCTATTAGAACGGCTGTCATCAAAAAGACAAGCGATAACAAGTGCTGGTGAGGATGTGGAAAAATAGGAAGCCTTGTGCACTGTTGGTGGGAACGCAAATTGATACAGCCACTATGGAAAACAGTATGGAGGTTCCTCGAAAAATTAAAAACAGAACTACCATATGATCCAGCAATTCCACTTCCGGGTATATATCTGATGGAAATGAAATCACTATTTCGAAGAGATATCTGCACGCTGCGTTCATTGCAGCATTATTCACAATAACCAAGATATGAAAACAACCTAAGTGTCCATCGATAGATAAATGGTTAAATAAAATGTCGTATATGTGTGTGTGTTCGTGTGTGTGTATACACACACACACACAAATGGAATAATGGAACATTACTCAGCCATAAAAAAGAAGGAAATCCTGCCATTTGCAACAACACAAATGAACTTTGAGGGCATTATACTAAGTGAGATAAGTCAGAGAGAGAAAGACAAATACTGTTATCTCACTTATATGTGTAACCTAAAAAAATTTTTAAAAGCCAAACTCATAAAACCAGTAGATTGGTGGTTGC